TAATTCGCTGTGTAATTTATTAATTCCCTCATAATAGACTTTCAGTACTGGGAATGGCTCCTTTAAAGGGACAAAGCAGGGGAAATTTAGCAATATTTTTCTCATTGCCATAAATTTGTCTCCTGACAGATGTGGACTTCCAGGAACACCAAAAAACTACCTGGAAATCTTTGTCTTCTTTTTTATCCTATCAGCATCCTAATCCAACTTTCCCCCTTGTTTTGAAGCTTCTCTCTTCCAAGCCAACTAAAATGGAAAATGAAATTTTGAGTTCTAATATTGCATCATTTACCTGGGGAAAACGAGATTGACTTGCCCAAATAATCACAAAGACAAATTTCTAAACTCATTGTTACTGATTGCCTAGAAAATTTGAGATTCACCCTCTGAAGAATGTGCTTTATCAAACCAAGTGAATTTTTCAATGACTTTTCCATCATTTCCTTAAAATCTTACCCAATAGATCAAAATAAACTGATTTACTTTAAGTTTGAAGTAAAGCATTATATCCCTCAAATTCCAGTTTTCTTAGCAAAGAGATCTCTGGGTCTGTCCTAAATAGTGAAAAGACTTAGTTATGCATTATTGATTTTTAAAATGCATTTTATAGAAGATAGGCAAGTATTATGCTGTATGTAAATCTTAATCTTCTTTCATTTTCTTTTTCATACTTGCATTATTTTTGCCCAACTTAATGACTCAATGAAACCTAACTGGATAAAGAATTGACCAAGTAGGGTCAAATAGTCAACAGAAATTGCATTTTTCTGAATAATATTATATTTTGGTGTAGAGAGAGCTTAGGTTTCAACCAGGGCTTACATGATACTTCCTGTTAAAGTGACTTTTTCCATTTCAGTTTGGTTTCAGATGATCATGTTGAACAAAATGATTGGATCGTTTGCTTTTAAAGAAAAAAAATAAACAAACTACATGGTTCTGAATCATGGAATTTAGGATGATTAGATGTGCTGGTAAGTCAATTCATAATAGATCTCTTTCAGATAAAATAGTAATTGTGGACCTTGGGGGGGAAAAAGGAAGTGAGTCATGAAAGCCAATAGATTTGATTGATATGACAAGGATTTTCAGACATATTTTAATATTCATTTATTTAAATATTTTGAAGGTCAACACCAAATGGCTATTTGTCAAGAATTTGAACATAGCTCAACCTATTCTTACCTTAACTTTCTTCTTTAAGACTGACTCTTTTCTTTACAAATCTCTTTTATTTGGTTTGTCCCTTCAATTCTAATTAATAAAAACTTTCACAGTGTATTTCTTTTTAAAATTCCTCTTTCACCATAGAACATATATTTAAGCAGGCTCTAAGAATGGAAACATTTTCATCTTGTAGGCAAAAGAAGGTGGGGTTTTCTTGTAATACTTGTAATAACAGAGAAGATTAATGTAAATGTGACACAGTTTTTAAAATCCAGAAACACAAGAGACAAAGAACACTTGGTCAATTAGGGGAAATATAGGTCTTTACTATCCACTGTAAAGAGCAAATAGACAGTAGTTGTTATGTAACTTCCTCACAAAAAAACTTGGCCATGCAGGCATATATACAAGTTATCAGGTACTTTCCAAAGTACCAAAAAGAATAAACATACATTCTATCTCTGTTCAGTATATTTTCAACTTTTAATATTTTTAAAAGATTTATCTTTTCACTAAAAGATGCCATGTTTGAATACATAAAACACTAGCACACCTGTCTTCTCTCCAACTAATTCCCCTTTCTCTTAATGCACATAACCCAGCTCCTCCAATAAAAACCTACATATGGGAAGGTATTTTTATTGAACATCATTTTTATCTTAGATCAGCAAGTCTGATCTGTTATACTTTTGAGTTATTTTACTCACTTTCTCCACTGTGGGGGGGGGGGGAGCGGAATGCTCACAGAAAGTTCTTTAGTTGGTTAGAACTACTGGAGCAGGACTGAGATCTGTGGTCACTAGCCATGGTGCTGAAATCAGTTCTCAGCAAATTGAGACTGGAGGCTGGCTATTTAAAATTATTTTCAGGAGAGTTGAATGTAAGAATAGGGTGGAAATGGAAGTAGTAATTTTCAGCCTCCAGAACACAGGAATAAAATTAAACTACCAGCATTACTATACATGAATTCACAATTCTATTATTTTAATCCTTAGGCATCTATGTAATGCATCCATTATTTCAAAATAGACACTTGAATTTTGTTCTTCAGGTGTCCTCCTTATTTCAGTTATGGAAAAAAAGGGTCTCTCCATCCATTCTCCATCCAACTTTCATAACTGTTAACATTTAATCCCAACTTGAGGCACTATAAGGATTTTCATTAAGTTATAGACTCTTTCCAAAATTCACTTCAAAACAAGAAACATCCCAAGACAGTTTCATATCAGAAGGGTCATACTTCAGATTATCAGTGTTAATCCTGCAGGATGCTCTCATTTCTTCCTTTTGTTTGGTTTACAGATTAGCATAATGTTTTAATACTAATTAATAGTATGAGCTATTAATAGAATAAATTTCCAAACCATTGCCTTCATGGAAAAAAATAAACTCTAAAAACTTAATATATCACTCAATCCTTGTAGGGAATCTGAAAATTATTAAAATAGGTGGGAAGATATCTTTAAACTAAGCTCAAAAAAAAAAAAAGAGTCTGAATCAAATGGACAGAATTTCCTTGTGCCAGTGTTGAATCAGTGTTAGATTTCCATTAACTCTAGTGTCAGACAGTCACAGAAAGGGGTAAAATTTTGCTCTAACAACCCAGGGGCTTCTTGCTAAGGCTTGAGTCATTGCTCTCCAGAAGTGGTGACTGAACTGAGAATTATGGTGGGTCAGCCCCTGGGCCTCAATCACAGTGCCCTACTCTCCCAAACAGTCCTTGGCACTTGCCACACCCAATCTCCCAGTGCTGCTGAAAGTGAACTAAGTCCCTTTCTTCCTTGTTACCCATGGGAGAATAGAGGGAATGTTGAAATTGTTTCCATCCAATATCTCTGCTTTCCATCCAATATCTCTTCACAGAATCATTGCAGGTCTGGAAAAAGGACCCCACGGGAGATATTTGGAGCCAAATATCACAATTTCATCTGAGCAGAAAAGCAAAGTGCCCTGCAAGATGAGCTTTGGCTATTAAAAGGCTGTTATAAATTCTGTTCTTTCATACTTTTCAAAAGAAGCATCCCCTACTAAATCTAATCCATACTTTGATAACAATCACTCCCAATAAACCATCAAAATGTGCTTCTGTAAAAATCTCCCACCAAAACAATTCCCACATAAATGATTAAAACAGCATCACATTTTAAAAGCCATTTAATATTAATAGCATATTTTAATGAAAAACAGCATACTTTGCCAATAAAACATTAAAATCATCTCTTCAATGAAAGACAATCAAACACCAAAAATAACTTAATACATTACCATAGTAAATAAACCATCTATTAACAAAAACAAGAAACCAGGTCATATACAGAACTCAAGACTTTGGGGAACCTCAAATGGAACAGCAATACAGCAAAATTTGTAAGAATATATCTATATGTGCATCATTTTGAATGAAATATTTACAATAATAAGGTACTGGTCATTGTGTACCTAATTATTTTTGTTCCAAAAGAATTCTACCAAACAATGTGAATTTACAAGCAGTGCACTGTCTTTCAAATAGTTCAAATTCACTTTTCTACAAACAAACCTCCAAAAGGAAAAACTGAAGGGTTCCTACAAATGTTAAAATGTAGTCAACAAAGCAATTGAAAACTGGAAGATTGCAATATTTTGGTGAAATCTTAGAATCGGAGGGGCAAGCACCAAGTGAAAAATGCACCAAATGCTAGAAAATGATGCAGGACTCATGCTTCCAATTGCTTCTTCTGTTAGGGATGTGTGAATATGTGTTTGTGTGTGTAGACGTGTAAGGGTGAGAGAGAGAGAGCGAGCTCCGGTGTAGTGGGGACAATATGGGAATCCCCATTAAATATGTAACAAAGTAAACAATACTTCAGGACAGTGAATCAGGTCTCCACGATTAAGACATCCATTACTGAGTGTCAACTCACAAATCAGAACACTACCAGTAAAAACAAAGAAAAAACAAGCTTCATTCAAAGTGAGAATATACAAGTAGGCCAAAAAGAACACTTTCTAAGAGGGAAGCTGTAAAAATTCAGTGAACTCATCAAACAAAAATTTTTGAACACCACTAGCTATACGTTCCCCCCCGGTTTTTTTTTTTTTTTTTAGACTAAAGAAGTTTAATTAATTAGAATGTGCACAAATTAAGTTGCTAGAGAGATAAATTAGTAATTTACAGAGGGTTGTTCGGCAATAATCTAATAATAGCTTTCAAGATCAGTGAACACAGCAGGAGCAACTCCTTTCTTAAGCATCAACACTTCAGAGAAAGAAGAGGGTTAAGAACCACAATAAAAATATATATATAATATACAGTGTAAATGCAGAAAAATCTGCCATCTTTTTAAAATTCAAAATACTTTAGAGATGTCTCTATCCCATTAAGCATCAACTCTAGTTTAAAGTTTTCAGTTCTGAATCAATTTCTATTTCTGAAAAATAGCTGCAAAGTGTACTTTTAAACTTGAACAAGGGTGATGTCTGTAAGAATAAAAACAAATCTTACTTGCTCATTTTTGCGGACTTTTAAAAGGCTGTCTCTTCTGCCTTCCTGCAAACAGCCAGCTCCACACTACCTCTGAAGAAGACGAGGTGGGGTTAAAAGGGACAACTTTTCTACAACTTGACAAATCCCATCTTTTGTTTTTCTTTTCTTTCAGAAACCTTTTCACATTCTCTCTGGCTTGGGCTCTGTTGCTCGCTCCTTCGTTCCCTCTTCAATCCTCGCTTTCTCTGGATTCACATTTACTGGAATTGTTTCTGGTCGCCAAAAGTGGAAAGAAAAGAGGCAGGAGAGAAAGAGGGAGGAAAGGGGGGACAAGGAGTGGGCTGTCCCTGGAATGGCCAAGGGTCTCCTATATGCCGGCGGAATATTTCATTCTTTTCTGTTTCTGCCTCTGGTTGCAGAACCAGACGCGCACCACGTTTTTCTTAAGATCCAGCTTCTCTGCTATGGCGGCGATCTTCTCCGAGGAGGGTCGCGGCTGGATGGCAAAGTAGGCTTCAAGCGAACGCTTCTCAGGCGCAGCTATGGACGTGCGCTTGCGCTTCTTCTCAGCGCCATTGAAGAGCTCAGGCTTGGTGAGCTTCTCGCGGTGGGACTTCTCTGCCTCCTCCAGCCAAGCCTGCAGGATGGGTTTGAGCGCGATCATGTTGTTGTGTGACAGCGTGAGAGACTCGAACCTGCAGATGGTGCTCTGGCTAAGAGAGCCCACGCCGGGGATTTTGAGGTTGGCTAGAGCGGAACCGACATCTGCCTGGGTCACCCCCAGCTTGATACGTCGCTGCTTGAAGCGCTCGGCGAACGCCTCCAGGTCCCGCGGGTCGGCGTCCACGTCGCTCATGCAGCCCATGTGCGAGGGCAGACCGTGCGCATGGGCCATGCTGAGCGCTGCTTGGTGCATGGGGTTCATGGTGGCCATGTGCGGAGCATGAGCCGGCGTGGACACCACCGCGCCGTCGGGGCCAGCCATGGCACCCAGGGCCAGCCCGGGACTCAGGTGCTCCAGCAGCTCGCCTTCGAGCGCCTGGTGCGGCTGGTGGTGGTGGTGATGGTGGTGATGGTGGTGGTGGTGGGTGCCGGCCAGTGCAGACGGGTGCGAGATGGGTACAGATGAAGAAGAGGCAGCCGACGTGCACGGGATGGTGTTCATGGTGTGGTAAGTGGCGTCCGGCTTGAAGGGGCTGTGGTGGGGCGGGTGGTGGTGGTGACTCTTGGTCTGGGAGACGATGTCCACGGCGGCCAGAGCCTCGGCACGGGCCAGCAGACTCTCATCCAGCCCGCCGAATATATTGCTCTGCAATTGCAAGTAGAAGGCACACATTACGCTCAGTAGGGAATTATGCACACTCTCTCCGGAAGCCCCGGCCCCGTGCTCCACACTGCCACCGCGCCTACAACATTCCCAGAACCTTAAAATAGTAATAATGATAATAATCCTGAAAATAGGAGTTGAGCATAAGAGGCAAGCCACCGAGAGAAGCCCAGAGTGCGGGAGGAGGAGGAGGAGGAAAGTGAGCCTGCAGACACAACACAACACAACACGCGCACAGGCAACATCCCAGGTCATAAAAATTAATATGAAAGACAAGACCCGCTGAATACTTAAGAGGGAGAGGGGGAAATTGGTTGGAGGTGTGGGGTGATTTGCTGTGCAGACATGAAAAAAACATCAAGCAGATAAAGGGGGCTGTCAAAATGTGCCTTTAAGCGGTGATTATGCAGAAATACGCACCGGTGGGGTTGGAAGACAAGCTCTCCGCATAGCCTCTGAGCCCCCGCCGCCGCCTCCGCCGCCACTGCTGCCACTGCTACTGGAGCTGCTGCTCCGGCCTCCGCCGCCGCCTCCGCCGCCACCACCGCCGCCAGCATTGCTGGAGCTGCTGGGGGAGCTGGCTGAGGGCGCCGCGGGCGCCGAGGAGCCGGGCGAGGCGCTGTGCAGTGCCGAGTACTTGGGCTCCACGTGCAGGCTGCCGCCGTGCGGCATGCTGAACGCCTGCTTGCTGTTTAGGGACATCATCATCATCTTCCCGCCCGCCGGGGCGCTGGTCGGTATAGCACTCTTTGGCCCCAGCTGCCGGGACCTTCCAGAAAAGTGTTCGGTTGGAGCGAGAGCCGGGAAGGGCAGTGCAAAAGTTGTGCTCAGCCACCGCCGCCTCCCGGCTCCGAACGCCCAGTCACCGCTACGGGCTCCGCTCCTCCGCTGCCTCCACCGCCAGCCGGAGAGAATGCTAGGCTCGGGGTGGCGCTGGTTACAGACCTCAACGTCCAAAACTGCCCGGGCTCCTCGAGGCCGCGGAGTTATACTCCCCTCTCCCCGCGCCTGCCCCCGCGCCCCCTCCCTCCCTCCCTCCCCCGCGCCTCCTCCCTCCCTTACCAGGAAGCGCCTGCTCCTGCTTGGTTTCTAGCGTCGCCCCTTCTCCCTCTTTACTCCCCCCCAGGTTCAGCTCCTTTCTGTTCTCCCAGCACCCGCCTCCCGCTCCCCTACCGCGCCCTCCGCCTTCCCTGCCCCCGCACGGGCTCTGATGTCGCCGCCCCTTCGCGGCGCCAGGCGGTTCCTACTTACGTTCGCGCCCTAGCTGATCCCCACCCAACCCTTCAGGTCCGGTGCTTCAGTCACCAGGCAGTGCCTACCTACGGGCCGGCACCCAGCCCCTCCCGCTTCTTCTACCGGCTCTGAACCACTCTGGGCAAAGAAACTCCCAAATAAAGTTGCGGCCCAAACCAACCTTGGGGCGGGGTGGGGGGTTCTTCCCTGGACTACTCCGAGCGCCTCCTACCTGACTGCCTCTCCCCTGCCCCCTGCTTACCATTAAGTTCCAGGCCTTCGCCCCCACTCGGCCCGCCCCTCTTGTGAGCCAAGTGACCCTGATTCCCCACTCCCTGCCACTGCTGAGGACTTTAACGCAGCGGCCAAGCCCGGTCCTCCGTGCTGCTCTGCGCTCCCGCCTTGATGTGTGCGGAGGTCGGCGCTCGGCTTCGCGCCCCCTTGGCCGGCAGGTGCCTGGTGCGGAAAAGACATGGGTCGGCGGGGCTGCAGGGCTTTCTCTCACTCGATTTCTCGCAGCTCTCAGCGGATTGGACAGCTGCAGAGCCTGCTCGGGTCGTCTGTGCGCATGCGACTCCCCCCACCCCGCATCTACCCGCCCCCCCGCGACACCACACACACACACACACACACACACACACACGCACGCACTCCCTCTTGCCTCCCCCTTTCTCTTTCTCCTCCTCTTCCCTGTATTCAATACACTGTGAGATGGGTCTTGGGAGGATCCACTGGCAAACCCTGCCTCTGGATTTATTATTCTTCATTAGCTACAATCAAAGGAAGAAGGGTAACTGACAGAGGAAGAGGAGGACCAGAAATTACAGAGCGCATGTGCTGCCGCATACCACCCCCCACAACATACACACGCGCGCGCACACACCCTCCGGGGCTGGCACAAGCCCCACTTATCTTCATTTCCACTGTCGCTCCGCGCCTGGAGAGAATATTTTTAGCCGACACTTCACCGGCACTTTTGTCCAGGTCCAGACCACTTTCCTGGAAATGGACGCACATTCTTAGTTCCAATTGCAAAAGAAGGCGATAAACACCCACCCCCGCCTCACACACATACACAAACACAAACATAACATATGCACAAACTCATCGCCTTCCTCGCCTTCACGCTCCCATCTCCTTTCTACTTTCTGCGGTGTTGGGAGCTGCTGCCACCTCCCCAGAGCTCGAAAGGCGCGGGGTGCCAGCAAGGGTGAGAAGGCCCTGTGACCCGGACTCAGGAACCCGCGGGTGGCCCAAACCGGACAGGGTTGACCAGGAGCAGGTGCAGGCCCTAGGCGCCTGGGGAAGACGAGCAGGTGCGAGAGCAGGCGGCAGGCCTGAGAGACTCTGGCGCGCGCCAGGACAAAAACAAAGTGGAAAGGAGCGCGGAAAGTGAGAACCCTCGGGTGGTCAGCACACGGAAGCCCCGCAGCGGTAGCGGCGAATCGGGAGGTGTCTGTCCGCCCCTAACCTCGGTTGAGCCGGAAGGGTTCAAGTTGGGAGAGCTGTCCTGGGGAGTAACCGGCATAATTCGAAATCCACAGCTAGAGTGCGCGGTGGGCTCTGTCCATGGTCCTTAAATCCCTTTAGCTTTCCTTCCCACTCTCGGGCTTGCCTTTCTCTGCCCTTGTGTGGAGGAAAATAATAAATACAGCCAAAGGGGATTCCTAGGAGCAGTGTCCCCGAGTGTGAGCCTGCAGAAGCCTGAGTGCTGGACTGGGAGAGGGGGGTGTTGACATGAATGAACGTGACTTGTGCCGGACGGTTCAAGTAAGTGCTTAGGTGTTTAATTTCTACCTCAACGCCCAGGATAATTTTCAAGGAAATAAAAAAAAAATAACATTGTATAGCTCTCACTGTCTTAAGCTTCGCAAAATGAAATAAATCAAAGTTAAAAGCTTGAGTATCATTTAATTATAGTGCGAACAGCGCTTTGAAAGAAGTAGAACAACATCTCTAAACAAATTATGACTGGGCCAGGAAGGAATTATTAGATTGAAATTTCATTTAGACTCGGGAGACGCCGCGCTTCACTGTGTAATCTGCTGTGCCTCATCTGATTTGTATGCTTAATTCAGCTTGACGAATTTATTAGTTTTCATAATAGTGAAAAAATTGAGCAGCACTATGGGCTAATGCATTGTGTATACTATAAATTGTATGTCATCGTGGAGAGGCTGAAGTCTATAGAAATCTTTTATTAATGTTGGTATAGTAGGGAGAATTTTCGTGCAAGCCTTGGAGAGGTTCATGCCAACTCCACTGCCCCTGTGTCTCACTGGCCCATTAACATATCGTCATACTAATTAGACCACTTCATCAGTGATATAATTTCAAACTTCAAATTATGTTCTAATTAACAAGGGTTGTCCAATTTGCTTAATCTTCAAAAGGCTTTGGATGATCTAATTAGGATAAACTGTTAAGTATTTCAAAAGCTTAATAAAAAGTCATAAAAATATTTTGGGTGTGTTTTCTATCTGTACTTTCATAAGGGCCAAAGGACCAAAGTGAGAGTGAAAAAGGATAATAACAGGAAGACAAATGTCTTCATCTACCATTATTCCAGATTATTATAGTAAGTGAGTCACAGGAGAAACTTTTGGGTATTACAATTCCTAAATAGTGTGTTTATGTGTTTAAATAAAAGCACAAGAATATCAAGGAGAAAAACCACAGGGGGAAAAAATTCTTCTCTTTCATTAGGTGCCTAATTAGATGTAAAGTAAAAAGCAACCCTGAGGAGTTTCCCAAGCATTATTGTGGCAACAGTCTGCTGAACTTGAATTGCAAAATCAAATATTTGGGGTGTTTTGAACCTCTCCTTGTCCCCTCCTCCTTCATTGAGCTTAATTACTTGCAATAGTTGTTTTAATGTATGTTGTCACCTGGGAGTATTGAGAAATGCATATCGTTAATATGAATTAATCTTGATTTTAATAGCAACTGACAACTGATCTCCAAAATGCTAAACACTTGTCACCACTTCGTATGGTAAATAAGGTGGTATAATAAATTTATGAAATAGAGAGGGCACTCTTGAAATGACCAGACAAACTTTGTTTGATATGGAGTGAATTGACTAAAATTATTTTAAGCAAGAAAACTCCCAAGAGAATATTTTCCTGATTATTCAAATCCATATGTCATTAAATTAACCTTAATACCACTTTTTTCATCTCTCAGATATTTCTTAATAATATCTCTAATTCCAGACAGGAAAAAAGGAAACCCTTGTTTTCCAGCTCTCAAGTAGAGGTAAATTAATATGTGATGGTAGAGCAATTCAAGAGTTTGTTTACCTGTATTTTCTTCCTGCTAGAAAACACATACATTTTTAAAAAGTCAAGTCAGAGCTAGACTTTTTTTTTCCCCCACTCAAAGTGAAAAATGAACAACAGTGATTGTGTTGCATTAGAGGGAAAATGCAATTCTCCCTTCATCACCACGACTTGCAATCTTGCAATCTCTTCCTCCAGGAGTGTCCAGAATACCAACGTCCGTGCCGTGATATCAATAAAACACATTTCGGTTTTGCCCACAGGCATCCTGCGAAGTGCTCCAGCGAAAGTGGAAGCGGCTCTTCGAGGAAGGACTCCAGCCCCCTAGTTAGCAGGGGCCATCTAAACAAGTGGAAAGTTGGCCATAAACCCCAGGGGTGGAAGCAAATGGCTCTAGATTAGAAACGTGCTTCCTAAAACCTCAACGTACTCTCTCATGCCCAAGCCCCATCCGCACTTGTGCCTCCGCACACCTACAGACTTATCTAAGTAAACCGAAAAGCGAGAAACTAGAAAGCACAGGGATGGGGAATGCATCAACTGTGTGGTTTCAGGAGCGTCTTTCTCTTCGCCAAGCCTCTTTGTTTGACAATAGCTTCAGTCCCCTTCGCTGGCAGATGCGGACAGATGTGAACCGCCTCCCTCCCTCGCGGCAAGGAGGAATCCACCAGTGCTTCCCAGCAGCCGGTCCCAGCCATAGGCTGCCCACCACCCGGAAATCGACCCGCGCCCCAGCCAACTCGAGAGGAGAAATCACTGTCTCCTCCTTGTTTCTGGGTCTTAATTTACTATTAAAATTTTAAGCAGCACATTCATATTTTACCGGACCTAATGTGTTTTATTAAAATTTAATCTATTAAGGGCAATGTGATTTCTTTGTATTTCAAACAGAATTGAATTGGACCAAGAGAAAGATTTCTCAAAAGATAGATCTGGCCCTATTGTGCACCATTTTGCTCTTGAGGAGACAGGGGTTGCTGGAGGAAAGAGGGAAAGGACCGATTCTCTCATCCCATTTCCAGCGTTATAGGGATTTCAAGATCAGCCAATCTGCTTCATATTCTGAATAGAAGATGAGCGTCCTAAGCTCCCTTCCGGACTCTGTGACTTGGGGCAGATGAGAGGGAACTGGTTGGTGGCTTAAACTCCTCAGACACGGGTGTTCCAGGGAAGGAGAGCATTATCCCTGAGACCCAG